TCACCCACCACATGTGGCAGAGCGTGTCAGCGTGTGTCACCCACCACGTGTGGCAGAGCGTGTCAGTGTGTGTGTCACCACGTGTGGCAGAGCGTGTCAGCGTGTGTGTCACTGTGTGTCCGCATGTGTGTGACCCCCCCCGTGTCCCCACATGTGTGAGAGCGTGTCCCCGCGTGCGTGAGCCCCCCCGTGCCCCCCGTACCGGTGCAGTAGCGGCGCTGGGGGTGCCAGCGGTACCCCGGGAAGCAGAGGCAGCTGTATCCCCCCGGGCCCATCACACACTCCCCGGGGCCGCAGATGTTCCGGTTCAGTTTGCACTCGTCCGTCTCTGGGGGAACAAGGGGGCTCTGGGGGGGCTCAGGGGGTCCCAAAAGGTCCCATGAGGTCCCAGGGGGTCACAGGAGGGCTTGGGGGGGGTCTCAGGGGCATCTCAGGGCGATCCCAGAAGGATTGAGGGGCTCCAAAGGGTCCCAAATTGTATTAGAGGGGGTCCCAGGGAGATCTGGGGAAGACTGGGGATTCTGGGGGTCCCAGGGAGCTCTTGGGGGTCCAAGGGTAGGTCCCAGGGGTCTCTGGAGGGTTCCTGAGGGGTCTCAGGGAGTCTGGGGGTCCCAGGAGTATCTAGGGCTTCTGGACGGTCCCAGGGGGTCCCAAGGAGTCCCAAGGGGTCCCAGGGAGTCCGGAGGTCCCAAGGGGGTCAGGGGGATCTCAGAGGGTCACAGTGGGCCCCAGGGGGGTCCCAGGTGTGTTGGGGATCCAGGGGGTCCAGGGGGGTGCAGGGGGTTCCCGGGGGTCCGGGGGTCCTCACCGGTGACCTGGGTGGGCGCGATCTCGGCGGCGCTGCGGGTCAGCTGCTCCGGGGGCAGCTGCCACAGCGGGGCCGGCGTGGGCCGGGCCACCAGTGCTGGGGACACGCCGTGGGACAGGGGCACAGGGACACGGAGCCCACAGGGACCCCACAGGGGCCCTGTCCCCGTGTGCGTCCCACCCCAGCCCAGCCCTTGTCCCCATCCTTGTCCTCGTCCCCGTTCATGTCCCCAAACTGACCCCAACCCATTCTGGTCCCCGTGTCCCCGTCCCCTCCTCTCTGTGCCTGGGACACGTGTGTCCTGGCCCACCCTGGCCCCATCCATATCCCCATCCACGTCCCC